GTGGCTGTTCCCGGCGACTATGGCGGCGGATCATGGCTGCGAAGGGCTGGGGTTGGAAGAGGGAAGTTTCGTGGTTCATTTGGCACTGGTATTGCCTGAATCGGGTGTCGGAGCTGAGAGGAATCAGCTCAGAAAGTCGGCTCGTTCTCTCTGCCGAAACCCAGAAAAATCTGGGTTTATAAAATTTAAAGTTCGAGATATTTACGGTTCTGCCACTGAACTTCTTTTGCTCGTAACTCCTTCGTTACAATTCCGTTTTGAGTCCACTACATGTCTACGGACTCGTTTTGTCGCGCTCTACGCAACAGTATAACTGGAATCCTCAAATTCCTTCCCGGTCAAAAAGTCAACTTTTAAACTAATAAAATATTCTAGGGGTATTTTAGTCTTTTTCTCAAATAAATTAATAATTAAATATTAATTTTAGGTTTGGGTTATTACATGTAATATCTGTGATATTATTTTGGATTGTAGTCAATAGGTAAAACATGGCTTTTACAAGTGATTAAAAACAAGCATATACAACCAAGGTGGTTGGTGTGAGTGGTTCGGCACTCTCATTCCTTAAGAGAGGTCAGGGGTTCGATCCCTGCTCTTGTATGGAGTCACCACTTTGGCCAGCACTTTACTCCTTACGGGCCGACCCGGTGTGAGCGGGGATTAGTCTGGGTTGTGGTTAAGGCTTAAAGGTGCCATCCATAGTTGGAGCCCATCCAGGACCACCTCGTGGTTCAGACCAAAAAAAGTAGTCAATTTGTTGGATATCTACACGTATGGTCATGAATCATAACCCCTACAATTTAATATATAAAATGCATCTGAAATTATGTGTATGCCACAAACAAAAAAAGAGCCATTATTTTCTTCATGGCCATGAATAGAAGACCTTTTATATATTGTGAACATCGATAAGTCTTATTGATCAACTTTCATTGCTAATTGAACAATATAAGCCCTAACAAATTTTTATAATTTTGGCCTACAATTTACATTTAAAAAGTTAATTGCTTTCAATTGAATGTATATCCAAACTTAAACAACTCAATTAATTTGCAATGTCTTTCTCCCTTATTAATCATCAATGCTATTAAAGCTCAAGTGTTTTCGCTTAAATCTCTTATAGATCTTTAATAAATTGTCACAATTGTCTTCAGTTTGTTTTTAATTGATTTGACAGATTGTACTTAGTTTGTTTTCAATTGATTTGACATATTGTACTTACTTTTGTCCGTCGATTTAATACAATGCTTGATATATCTACGTTATTTTTTGTCATGTTTGATTTTTTAACTTAATTCTATCATATTAGTTATTGCCCTCACTCTAAATTTTTTTCATTCATCAACATTAACACATGGCATTTTCTAACTTTATGGGAACAGAGTTAAAACCTATGCTGAGGAAAAGGTGCGTAAGTTGGCTCTACAACAGAGCTAGCAACAGTTAGATCCCCTTTGAACATACATCAAAAAGGAAAAATCTCATTCCACGACCCAATAGCATATAGATAAACAGTTATACAAGCTATTTTGAACAATGCACAGCTCAAAACTTCTCATATTTTGATGTTTTTATAGCTACATCATCTATTAAAATATGCCCAATAATTTAAGATATCAAACATCATATAAAACATGTTATTATTTTATCTTTTGTAACTAAAACTTGTGGAAACTAATCGTGATGGCACTATTTACATTTTTCATGTATATATAAACAGAACAATGTTCCCCGCCTATTTTCTTCTCTTTATATACATCTCACACAATTTTAAAACCCGCAGCATCGCGCAGGCTTTTCCTAGTGGATTCCTATATTTAAATCATATATACTATATAGGCATTAAAAAAAAATTCTTATAATCTTAATTATTTACTTAAAATATGTCATGTCTTAAGATTGAGAAGAATTGCCACGATAATATTTGAGTTTACTGTGCATGGTTAATTACTCCAGGGAGAGGGGTTAAAAAACGTTGTATCATAGCTTAAGATTTAGAAGCTATAAAGGAATTTCATATAATTGCAATTACAATTGGTGACTGCCATGCAATGCAATCACTAAAATTACTGATTTATGGGTTAATGAATGAACCCATTCATTCAGATACAAAGTTGTTATGGTTATTTTTCTAAGGAATATGAGCTAAAAGGGTCCCATCCCATGGATATTTTATTTCATTTTGATTCTTCTGATTCCCACAATGCAAAGACGAGAAAGAGGCTCGCACAGAATTGACAAAGTACCAAATTCTCAAGTGTACATAATTATATTTAAATATAGTAAAACTAGAAATTTAATCGAAATGACAACCTTAGACAATATATAAACATTTTTTTAAAGTCATTATTTGACCTTCTGTCTGTCTTCACACGATCTCTCCTCCATCGGCCACTGTCTCTCCTCCACCACCAGCAGGAGCAGGAGCAGCAGGAACAGCAGCATCAGCACCCTTAACATATCGCCGGAACAGAAAGAGAGCATAGCAGGAAGGCAGCCAGCACACAACCATGAAAGCAAACCATAGCAGTGGGTGGAGGAATGTTGCAAGGGTAAACCAGTATGGAATGGCAGCACCCATTAGGAGAAGATAAACCGAGGGTGCAAAAGGGTTGCGACCCACCAGAATAATAAGCATGATACCAGATAACATCAGCGCCAGTGAAATAAATAATACCGACAAAAGAGTCAGGGCCGAACAACCGCAATATTTGATAATGCACTTACAGTGTTGGAGCCCGGGAGGATTGATCCCCGCCGAATATAGAGTGGCGGAGACCAAGGTCACGACCACGAGTAAGATATTTCTTTTTTCCACAATGTCTGAGTTTGGTCCCATGTCTGCATGGCGGAACTGCAGTGCCAGTTGAACACACCGTTGTACCCAACCCATGAGATAATTGAGGAAGAAAAATATTTGGAACAATAGGATTAACTAGGTGGGATATCTGCTTTTATCCTAATGGTGGGAATGGAGTCGAGAGATGCAGAGGAAGGGAAGCTCAATATATAGAGTTAACTAGGTGGATCTCTGCTTTGGTCCTATTGGTATTCTGAAGAGAGAAACAAACCTCCCTCCTTTTGCTTTTTCCCAGAGATCGTAGGAAAAAGAGAACTTCGAGTATGTAATTTGTAATTGTAAACTGGCATAAACTTTTGGTATTCTGAACAGAGAAACAAACCTCCCTCCTTTTGCTTTTTCCCAGTGATCAAAGGAAAAAGAAAACTTGGGAGTATGTAATTTGTAAGTGTAAAGTGGCATAAAGAAAAGAGACGGTAAGTGCTGAGCATAAATAAGAAGGTCAGACCAAATAAAAATAAGACGGCAGACAGAGTACTGCAAAAGTAAAAGTAGCAAAAAGAAGTAGCAAAGAGAACTAGATTGACACCGGATGATTCTGAGCCTGGACTTTTTCTCCTTAGAAGTCGAGCCGGTTTTGGAATTTTAAGGCATTTCTCAAGTGACTTTCCTCAACTTGACTTGTGGTAGCTAGCGATGGTTTTCCCAATGCCATTCATTTTGGTTCGAAATAAAAACAGTAGTGTACATGTCACATCAGCAAAATGGCATTACATATAGTGGTGAGGCATATCCACAATTTTTGCAATGACACCATGCAAATCACTTTATGAGTAACTCTGTATTGCATACAAATTGATCACAATAACAGATTAGCCAATAAAAATACAGATAATAACTTCTTTCTTTTCCATATAAATTTCTAAATTTACAAATTAATGTTTGTATCTCAATGAAACAATATTGTCCACGTAGCCCACATTTTCCATTTTCTCGACCGATGACTATGCTTGCTCACATTATTCATTTTCATATTTCCATTGCTGCCCTATAACAGCAT